AATTAATTGATTATTTAAAATATAAAAATCGATTTTTAGCTATTAATGGATTATTTTAAATATAAAAATCGATTTTTAGGTATTAATTGATTATTTTTAAAAATAAAAATCGATTTTTCTTAAGTCCAGATCCTGTTCTGAAAATATTCGGAAAATATATGCTCTAAAATCCACCAATTGATTATGATCATTGGAAAAATGATTTACCATAATAAAAATGATGTTTTTAACAAATAAAAATGTTATGTGATGCATGACGGTAAGTTAGGGTGTTAACACCCGAAGCTAGGCCGCTAATTATTATTGAATATTATGTTGATTGATGATTATGGTAATGATTATTGATTGATTATTATGATGATTGAATCTTGATGAATATTCTGATTAAAAATGATAATTGTGAATGATTAAATCATAATGAATATATTGATGATTGTGAAAATAAAATGTATTGTTAAGAGTATCTAGAAGACCTCTAAGATATACCCATATTAATGTTGATTTGAAAGGTATCTAGAAGACCTCTAAGATATACCTATTTAAGTTAGGCCTTGCGGGTATGAACCCCGGTGGCTAGGGTTAAAACGTACGTACGGGATCCAAGAACCAAACTTGAGTACCTACTCGTTTGGGTGTACCACCCACCCAACGGTGAACACTACGCTGTCGGTTTTTGGTTGGCCTTAAGTGAAGGTAAGTTTAAGATTTTCAAAACCCTTTTATCTTAAACTAGGCCTAGCTTAAGGATTATTTAGAAATATTTTATACTGGAATATAGTTTAATTATTTAAACTAGAATTTGTTTAAGGGTTGACAAATATTAAAGTGATTGGCCTTAGACTAAGAATAGTTTAAGGATATTGTTGAATGTTGAATATTGAATTTGAATATGAGTAAATATTGAATGATGAATATTGAATTGAATATTGCAATTATTATGAATAACTGATGAACATTGAATGTGAATATAAATGTTGAATAATGCAAGATGAATAATTTTTAATAGTTATTGATTATCTGAACTGAACATTATGTGCATGATATCAAATGATTTGATTATGAATTTAGATTCAGTTTATATGGATGTTCGATGCATTAGATATGCTTACTCAGCTTCAACACTGAGCGTGTAGTATGTTTTATTTGCTACACGCAGGTTAATGAAGTGACGTGATCCTGGAGGCAGACGGAGGCGAGATTGTCGGAATGGATGTGATGGTTTTGAATTAAAGAACATAAATAAATTATGTTTGTGATTATGACTGTTAAGCTTCCGCAATATTGAAAACTCCGTACTGTTTATATTATGAAAAATATTGTTGTGATAAATAAAAGTGTTTGAAATGTTTTAAATTTTTACGATTACCAAGTTAATACTTTAATCTGAAAGGGGCTGCAGACCTGGACAGATTAGGGTGTTACANCAAATGCTATCTTGATATCTTATGACTCATATCCTTGAATTACTCAAACTTGATGTGTTAACTACACCCTTGAAACATCCCGCTTGATCAATCTTGAAAAGATTGAATTCCATTCTTTGTATCAAAATAATAAAACCACGATTCTTCATTAAACGAAAAGATGTTTTATGATACCGATCTTTGAAAACTATACCTTGTGGAATACATGACTCGATCACAATAGTAAAACTACCTTGACTTGAACATTATGTTGAACCTCTCTTTGTGGACCACAAAACAAACAATACAATTACGTTATCTCTGAAGATTATTATCGATGATCTTATTGACCAAACAAACTCCGTTATAACCCTAGCAAGGATATGTGTGTGCAACAACCAGAGAAGAAATGACGTCACGAGAACAAGCTGAATCATTCAAGCGAAAATCCCTAACCTATATGCGATGTTGGTGTTAGAACTTGTAAAGATCCCTCACTCTATGAATTCATGAATTGAATCGCGTACTGAAGATATTCTCTTCTTTCCTTGAAACAAGATCAGCCATAGTGCTACAGTTGAATCTGTCGCTATCATATCTAGATATGGTTTCAAATTAATAGAAGAAGTTTAAATACTATACGACAAGTCGTACATGAGACGCTACTCGAACGTCATCACCTATGAGTACGAAGACTCATTAAACGATAAATGAGAGCTACCATGAAGATGAATGAAGAAATGTTTTAACATAAGGTCGATGAATGACGAACTACTGTACAACCGATCGACAGTACCTCCTCATAAATGATGACAAATCCCATATTCTGGAAATCATGAACCAATAAAAGACATTTGATGTTACTTACGAATCATTGCTAAACTATGAGAACGATGTGAGGATGTTTTGGATGAAGATTACGCTATGACGTATGAATTAAACAACATCCAAATCTTCCACTATAACTATCGCGAACTTGAAACTGCAAATGCTACTGAAGGACTTTCAATCAAAGAAAGAATGTTGTTGACTAATGACGAACAATCAAGACTTGTGAATGAACGAAGTATGTCAAATATGCTCCAAAATACGATGTTATACCCTGCAAAGGAACCCAAGTTATGGATGTTGAATTTGAACAGGAACCCGCAAAAGGATTGTTGGATACCTTGCTTAATCTAAGATTGTTAACCTCTTGAAGAAAGAACGAGTTTGATAACAT